CGTGAAAAAAAATTCTGAAGATTTCTCATTAAAAAGGCCTTCACTATGTTCATTGACACTTAAAAAGCAATTATCTATCAAATTTGAGAAATTTCCGCGGAGAAATGACAAAAAATAGACAAAAACCCGCTTGAAGGAAAATTAGATCAAATTGATTAGTTTAATCTGTCTTATATAATAACCTTCTTTCTCAGTAATTTCGACCTCAATCTGTGATAAAAACTTTTAGTTTTCCTTTTTCATTATTTTTTCTCCATTTACAATGAGCAGATCTAAAGATCTACAGTGCTGATTTAAATTAACCGGACAAAACGCGTTAAACTTGAAATTAAAAACGCATTTTTCTCAAATTGAGTTGAGTTTAAGAGAAAACGTATGAAGACAAAATTTGCTTAAAATTTTAGCAGAATTAATATGATGTAATTTGTTTTGCAAATTTGGGGTCCAAAATTTTACCCCAAAACTGGTTCATTTTGGCTTTTCTTAGTTTATAAAAAATTACGCCAAAAATACCCAGTCGATCACACCCATAACTATATCAAAGTGAGCCCCTTACGTAGCCCAACAAACTTTAAGAAGGGTATATTCTTCAAAACATTTTATAAGTTAATTTATTTTGTTTGATAGACAAAAAAGATCGTTTTTACTATATAAAATACCAACTATTTATTCAAAAACAATTTTAAACGGTTTCAATTTGTTTTGGAGAATATACCCTTCTTAAAGTTTGTTGGGCTACGCAAAGGGCTCACTTTGATATAACTATGGCTGTGATCGACTGGTTATTTTTGATTAACTAAGAAAAGCCAAAATGACCCATTTTTGGGGTAAAATTTTGGACCCGAAACTCGCAAAACAAATTACACCATATTAATTCTGCTAAAATTTTAAGCAAATTTTGTCTTCATAGGTTTTCTCCTAAACTCAACCCAATTTGAGAAAAATGCGTTTTATATTTCAAATTTTTTTTTCATATCATGTTTTAAATTGCAAATTTAACGCGTTTTGTCCGGTTAATTTAAATCAGCACTGTAGTATAACACAACGATACTTTAACAGTGCGTTTTTGTTTTTGTAAAATGGTAGCCGAAATTCTATAACAATTTTTCCACAACATCTCCAATTTCCCCGACTTCATGAAATTTTCTTCAAAATAAGAATAGTAAATGTTCGATCACTAAAAACAATATTGTCATACATTTTGCGAACTAACCCAGTTTACGAAAATTGGTTCCACACTGGTATACTTTTTCTGCAACTTAAAATTAAAAAGTAAAACAGAAACTAAGAAAATGTTGGCAACTAAAAAAACTGCATCATACTTTACATTTATGCAAAAAAATTCAAGGTATTTGAAAAGAAGGCACAATCACGCAACTCTAATCAACTTCTGATTCATAAAAGTCCATCTGACACCACTTATGATTCATAACCGTCCATTTGACAAACTCACTGGCGAAGCTCTTATTTGAATCAATTTTTCTTCTAATTTTTGCAATCAGATATAATCATGATTTCAAACAACTTGATTATGACCAGTGTAGAATCAATTTGAGACAAGATTAAACTCATTGCTTTTTTGTAAATAAGCACGCACAATAAAAAGAAAATATGTATTTCAAAAAATCAATAAAATCATCTAAAAAAATTTCGCATTTCTGAGAACTAAAACGTTACAAAATAACATGAGCGGAATTATCAATTTAAGTACACCACTTACGATACAACACAAACATAGCATGAGAAATTAGAAATAAAAATTGAGACGAAAGCTGCAAAGTCGATTTTTTTTTTGAAAATGTCAAGAAATGCTAGATCTACCAACTGTTTCATATCTTTGTCTCAAATAAAATGCAGCAACATATCCGACTATAGCAGAAACCCATTGAGCCAAAAAAAAAACATTTAAAAGACTCTTATGCATAGGAAACTTGTTTCGCTCATCCAACGATGAAATATGATGCCACTAAGCCCCGATTAGGTATAAAACGAAAAAAAAATTTTCAAGTCGAGCATACAAAAAACAACGAAATTATAACGAACCAGAGCTGGTTAAATTGATTCCATTATTTTTTTTAAAAAAAAGAAAAAAAAACGGGTATTTGAAATGCAAACATGCTCAAAATATGTCAGTTGGTTGACGAAATTGCCGATTTGAGAAAATGATTAAGTGATTTTGTTCGACAATTGCGAGCACAATCTTTGCATAAGCAATATTTCGGCGCACATTAATAGACAGCATAAAAAATTTCAAAGTATAACAAAGTCCGCAAAAAATGTTGTCACTCAATTACCACTACAAATGGTGCTTTAGAAAAAGCATTCAGGAACTTAGAAAAAAGCTGGTCCTTCAAAAAGATTCCGTGCTATGGGACCTAAGCAGACAAAAAAACAGACGGACAATAGTCCGAAAAGTAGAAAAATTTGTTTGAAAAAAAAACAGGCCCCGGTCGAATCACAAGCCTTTATAGCCGCGAGCCGGTGTGTTATCTCTTTGACAGATGTGCCGGATTATTGATCGATTTTGAATATATTATGAAGCAAAATGAAACACCTGCGAAATTTTGCGAAAATTTTGCCGTGTTGTAGCAACTAAGCTGACAAAAAATAGGCAGACACGCAATAGGCTGACGAGTTAATGCAACTCACAGTTTAAAAAAAGACAAGTTCTTAGCCGGTTTCAAACCACTGATATTTGTTGTCCCAGAAACAGACCACAAGATAAATTAAAATTGAAAAAGAAAGCCTGAACAACGGGATTTGTTTCAAAATCTAGAACAACATTAATCGCTAAGCATGGCCGGTACTGAAAACCCGCTAAGTGAAAAAAGCTCAAATCATTAAGAGAATAGGTAAAAATTTGAAGCCATAGCCAACAATTTGTTGAAAAAGGCCAATAAATTCAAAGACACTGAAAAAAACTTTTACAACATATATTAGTTTTGCTTTTTATAAGGATATTGCAAGCAAGTGCTAGAACTTTTAAACATTAAAGCTTTGTTCACAGAATTCCTTTTAACTTTTTTTATCAGAAAAAAAACGAAAAGCTGACTCTTTTTTTTCATCAAATTTACGAACATGCTTGGGCCGACAAAAAAATTAGTTACCGGGCTAACGTTTGTATGCTTATTTTTTATCGACAAAATTTTCACAGCATAAATTTTTCTTCTGATTTGAGCAAATTTTGCTTATATGAAAGCCATTTTGATTTGATTCTGTAATAACGCGGGTAATAGAGTTCCAAAAAAATTTGTTCAAATTGAGAAACTTTGCTCGCTCAGATTTAAACTGTGTGCATGATATGATGACGCTCGCTAGTCGCAAACGTAGTAACACTTAAGACAGGTAACCGCGACTAAGCAATGTTCTTTGTGGAGCGGAGAGAAAGCAGAAAGACCACAACGATACCTAACAGCAGGCTGAAATTTGGCGTCGAGAAAGTGTGAGACGAGATCTTTGATGGAAACGGCGTTTCACTAAGCACCAGCGAAAGGCAGAGACATACTGGAGATCGGCGCGGTTCCTGGTATTTGAAAGTGTGGCAAACGAGCTAGTGTAGTTAACCTTCTCAGAAAGTTTATGAAACAACATCTGAGAGCAATTCTCGGTGAAAGCGATAGCACCAGTACTGTCAAGGAAAGTGGTTAGCGACGCCGTTTTTTTAGCCAGAGGAATCAAGAAAAACTGGAACTTGATGATCCGTGGAGAGATACATGTCGAGCCGTTTGTTCTTAATGGGAAGCAAAAGCAGACCAAGCATCATCGGTATCTGGAGAACCAAGCACGGCAGAGCGCATGAGCAACTGAGGTAGGTAGATAACTCAGAGAGCAAATAACTTTAGTAGCAGAAGCAAGTGCGCAAATCCCCGAAGAAAAATTACGGGCTTACTTGTCCAGCTTATTAAAAGGTTTGTTGGTAGTTGCGACTGAAAAAGAGGAATTCCCGAAGTGACCTCCAACAATTAGAACCTTTGGTGACTAATATGCCGTTCTGGCATACTGTTTTCACAAAATAATTTGAATGCCAAAGTTCAAAATGGTACAACTACACACGCAGCTGCTTTGATGAAGCTGAGGAAAATCGGAGGGTGCCCAGAGCTCGCACTTTCTGTGTCTGTTTTTAAGGACGAGAAGCTACATGGGTGCTCATAATAGCGAGAACTCTGAGTAACTTGTCCAAGTACACGCAGTTGAGCATGACACCTGCTAGTTCAGAACACCAGGAAGTGGATAAAATAAAGGAAAAAAGCAGCTAGCCTGGACAGACTTTTTCTTGCCAAAAAGCAGACTCGCGACAGAACAAAAATCCATTTTTAAAGTAACAAAGGCCGGTTCATAAATGTGGAGAAAAAGTCTGTCCTGATTTGATAAGGCTTGCTACTCGCAAACGTAGTGTTACTGAAGACAATTTTGGAATTAGAAAGTCTAGGAAAGAAAACTCAAGAAACTTTTTATAAGAAATGCGGCTTTTTGAATCAAGAAATTGAAATATTTAGATAACATAACTACTACTGACAATGTTTGAGCCTTTATGTTTTTTAAATAATTCAATTTCAAACATTGTCAGTAGTAGAAGGAAAACTGTCAAAAAATTTACCAAAATTGAGAAAAATGGATCAATATGTGAATTTTTTATTCCGCTAAGAATTCAAATCAAAATCCACTTTTGATTTAGAAATCGTTCACGTTTTCTCGGGCCATTTAAACTTAATCGAAAAGTAATTCGCGTTCCTTCTAGTAAGTGAAACTGAGCTGACTTCAAAAGAAATCGAAACACAAACCGCAAAAAAATAGACTTTCCTGAAAAACCGAAAAAATCAACTCGACCTATATAAAATTTTTCATAACTATCATTGAGACTTAATACAATAAAAAGACAATAGACGGTATTATCAGGAAGGACGGCATTCCAGCGATAAATTTCGAATGCTAGGTTGCCGGATAAAAAGCAGAGAAAATGGTATACAAGGGACAAACAATGTCCTAAATCTTCTGCTTACTCTGGCTGTTGCATGAGAGCGTCTTGGGCAGTTTTGATCCTCACATCCTGACTAACTTCACGCCACGCACTGTACATTAACTTATCTCCAGGTCTGCCATTACTCGATACATCGCTGTCACATGTGAAATATGTCTGATGGTCTTGCGCTGATAGATTCATGTCGTAGTACGTCAGGGGATCTCTTCCTGTGACCCACGTGTATCGATTGTACTCAGCTCCACGAAGTAAGTTCAGAGGGTTCCGCCACACTTTACACTCTGAAAGACAATTTTGTCAACTGGGAACTCAACCTAGCAAGCAATGTCGTTAAGATTTATATAATATATGGCAGATGAAACAGCGCATAATCAAAATACGCAGAGAATTAAGTTTCGAAGATTGAGTTTAACCATGTAAAAACAGAGCCAATCGAAGATTGGAGAAGAATATGAACGCAAGTAAACATAAAGACAGGCGAAGTTGCACTTCGCATACACAAGCAAAAATATGACCGATAACGCTACTGGGAAAAACTGAATGAGTAAAGCTTTAAGTCTAAAAAATTTCTTAGGTGACGCACGTCAGTTATGAGTCTACAAGATTGTTAAGTGACACAAGCCAAGTATGTCGCATTAGCAGTAACAGTCAATTTGAAAAGAAAAGAAATTTACCAACTAACAATCTTCAATTTATAGAGCAGTCTATGGAGCAGTAATAACAAGAAAAAATTAAATGTAATAAAAATAACATGAATTTTTTTTTAATTTGAGAGTTTTAGTGAAAATCATCCTCCCACACGCCATATTAAGTACAAAGTGATAAATTTCGCTCCCAGTAACAAATGAATAATGGCAAACAAGCTTTCTTCAACCAATTTGGAACGATTTTTATGATGGATCAAATATCAGCTTACTGAATCAACAGGTAAAAATTTTATTCCACTGAAATCTAAAAACTAAATTCCACTTTCGAAACTAGAAATCGTTCACGTTTTTTTGCGCATTTCCACGTTCGTATTTGGAGAGTGTTATTTTCGTGACTTTCAGCAGATGAATTTCAATTGAACTCAAAAAGTGCATTATACCTAAGAGCATCAATATTTTATGACTTTTACCTAAAAAAATCAGCAAGACCTATATAAGAGTCTTCACTACGTTCATTACTTTAAACACTTCCGAAACAATCTGGTTTACCTTGTAAAGCGGGAGCAGGTATTGCATTATTATTCCCTCCCCCTCCACCAAAACTGCTACCCTCTGCTTCTGATCCCGATCCTCCAGCCGCAGATTGGTCGTCTGGGACAACATCGCCGCCTAGCCACGGTGCCACATGAGTAAGCGACATCTGTTCGATGAATGAAGTCCCATATCGTTTGAAATACCACCACTCGAAAATCTGCCAGAAATTCATTAACATTCTCATTAACTTAGCTTGATATTTTCAGAAACAAAAAAAAAACTTTAATTTCATTTTACTTTAACACAATGCAATTTAGTGATACCTTAAACACTTTAAGGTAAGCAAACGTGCTCTAAGGATCCGCAGAAAATTATGCGCTACAAACAACTATCACATGTACATTTGCTCTTGCAAAAGAAATTACTTGAAAGATGGAATACTAACCAGAATGAGACCCGAAATCAATGATGAAGTTCCCGTGAGAGCGACATAGAATTTCGGGGTCAAAGTGTTTAAGAACATAGCTGAAAACAAATGTTTTTTCAACCTTTGCAAGTAATATCAAATAAAGCAAATTTGTATCAATACTCACCGAAGTTATGGCTGTCATAACTCTCGTCAATCGACGCCATATAAATCTACAACAAATTAAATGCCAGAACAACAATGTTAACAGCCAGTATAATCCTCAAGAAAACAGAAGCCTAATAAAATTAAATGAGAAGACTGCTCGTTAACGTGACCTGCCCACAAAACCTCGATTTCCCGTTTACGTCGGAAATCAATTTATCACTCTTTTTGTTACGTAAAATCCTTGATAGGAAATCCGAACAAACCAAAAAAGCACTACTGTTTGACCAAAAAATTGCTCAAGCTCAGCAAAAAATGGCAATGGGTTGGCATTACCTATTCAATGATAAATGTGTTCGAAACATTCTATGCCAGGGCCTTTCCAAATGTTATCGACGAAAAATTAAATGCAATTGGACAAAAAAGGTAAATTATAATAGGGGCCCTTCCGTTTTTTTTCTTTTTTTTTCCGTTTAGGTACAGTCGTGAACAAGCTGGATAGGGCACATACCAGCATTATATAAACACATCAATCAACAATAATGCAGAAATTAAGACAAGTCAGCATTTAATGCGTTGTCATTAAAGGTATTTACTTCAACCGTCCTCCCTCTATAATAGCACTAATTGAGTGGACTTTATTCATACTTCTAGGGAAAACAGAAAACAACAAGACTTCAAGGACACTTTGCCAAAAATTGTTTCAGTAGCAAAAACTCTTCAAAGTGAAAATTTGAATTTCTCCGATGCAGGAGCAGTTTTTGCCAAAACTCTGAAGTATTACAAAGAAAACGATTTCAAACAGTATTTGTCAATGGATGGTCATTGTCCATATGCCAATGCCAGTCTTCGAAACTGACAAAGAAAAACCTGAGAGCAGATGTTGAAGTCTTTTTAATTGAAAAAGACTTCAACACTTGTCATCTTCTTTTATTATTTTCACTTCCATATCTAGAAAATTCCAAGGATTTTGACTGGAATACGTGATGAAGGGACTCCTGACTGTGAATTCGGTTACTATGATACATTTGACTTTCTGATTAGCCTAGAAAAAATAAAAAGCAAATGAGAGACTGCCAATAATAATAATAATAATGAAGGATTTAGGATAAGTTCCAGGGGAATTGCTTCCCTGTCACTTTCAGTTTATTGAGTCTCATAGAAATTCAGTTTTGCAGTATTGATGCAGTTTGTGCAGTCGCAGCATAATCTCCAGGTGCAGGGGAGGTTTTCGTTGAATTTCGCAGTGAAGTAGCGCCAGTAGATAGTTGACAACTCTTCTTTGCATTGCGTTGATTTGATGACATCTTGGTTGAGATGTCTATTAAATATATTTGAAAGTGAACATGCTCGTTGCCAAAAATCAGATTCGCATTTTTTCAGTCGGAAGCATTTGCTGGTATAAAAGGGTATTGCGTGTGATCTTGTTATGCCTGTATCAATAATCTGTACATACTTCTCCCAATCAATGTCAGTTTTCGAGTTGATAATCCTAGCAAAAAGTAAAACTACATGCATTTCATGATATAAGGACAGTGGTAGTAAGTGAAGTCTTTGAAGACGCGATTTATATGAAAGGTTGCTTGTGCCTAAAATCCAGATACTTGCTCGATGTTGAACCTTCTCAATGAGCGCCAGTTCAGACTTAGATGGTTTCCAAAGAGACGATGCATAGCTGATTATTGGCACTACATATCCTCTGTATGCATTCTTCTTAGTGCTTATGGTCGAGCTATTGGCTAGGTTTCTTTTTAAAGAGAAGAAAGCTTTTAGCGATTTAGCGGATCTAGTTTTAGCGTGTTCCGTCCAAGATAGGTTGTTTGTGACTATAAGTCCGAGATCTTTCATAAGATTCGTTCCTGGTATATGAAGGATTGAAACTGCCGGCTATCACACCAGAAACCAGAGGCCAAAGAGACAGTAACTTATAATGAGGATTTTGCTTCAAGTTTTTAAAAATTCAGAAACTAGAGAAAAGATAAAAAGAAGTAACTATTTTGAACCAACGTATTTGCTACCAACTTCAAACTTGGTTGAACGTTTCTTCAGCTTGGCAAGTTTGCCTAAAATGACCATCAAAAAAATTTGCTTCCAATGAACCTGGAAATTGAGCCAATCGGTCATATTTGGAGGTTTGACCCTGGAAAACGTTTGGTCTTGATTTCGGGGTGAAATGCAATTTTTCAAAAATTCGAATTGAGCATGTCATGCTCAAGTTTCTCGCGACAACTGAAAAGACAAAAAAATAAGATGAGAAGATTCGAACTACAATCGCGGCAAAGCAGTACAAAAAAGGAGCGTGAAATTGCTATTCGCAATTTCACTGTGTAAATCGAAAGAGAGTAGAGCTGTCTCATTCCTAGAGAAAGAATAAGTCTTGACGAGAACAGACAAAGAATGTGACATTCGACCAGAATGGACAAAATGCAAATTCAAACTGATGGCCGCTGACCTTGAGAATTGGCAGTTTTAGTAGATTAGCGACGTTATTTGAACGATTAGGCAAACTGTGAAGGTCAGGATATTCTGGTAATTTGAGTTTTTAAAATTTTGAATGAAGACGTCAAATTTCCGAGAAACGACAAAATTGCCATTTTTGGAAGTAAACCAAAAAAGAAACACCACAACAACGATAGTTGCGCGAGAAACAACGACGAGAAATAGAAAATACGACAGAGTATTAGCAGAGACCGCTCCGAGTTGTATTGATTGTGTCGCTACAATCGTTACAAAGCCATTCTCACCAAGGGTGAAGGGTGGTGGAACCGTGAATTCAGCCTTCCGGAGAGGAAATAAAAGTGTAATTTCCCCGGATTCAGGAATCCGGAGGGGTCTTGAGACCTGAACTCAAACTATTTCAAACTAAATTTTAGCTTCCTGGTCATGCCCTGGATTGAATTTAATTACATCTGGATTCATTTTCAGATGATGAGAAGCTAGGAGTTGAGGCAAAGGGTTGATCCATTATCAATGTAGATGATGATTTTTATCTACTGAACAAAAATAAAAGTAATATGATAAGTAGTAGTAGCCCTGTTTTTAGGAGTAACCTCGTGGTCTGGGGATACTGAGACCCAGCCATGAGCTCACTAACTTTGCATGTAAGTAAGTTAATTTGAGCGTTCTGGTCGAAGCCGGAGAACAGTATTGTTTTTGTCGACCCGATGTTGAAAAGACCACCAAAAGATTTGGCTTTGGTAGAGACGGTAAAAAGCATGTAGAGCTTTGTTTAGACGCGGGCCAGTCGTTTCACAACCTTGCTTTATTTTCCGTCGATATGTACTTCCGGGCAATTTTTACAAGTCAATTCCGTCAAGATTTTAAATTTTGAGGCTTACATAGGCTTTTTCGCAAAATATATCAAGATTTCAAAATTTTGTTAAACAGAAACGAAATTTTATACAAAATTTTTAAAAACGTTAATTTTTTTTACGTTTCAAACTAGCTCATTTTAAGATAATTTGGTCTTATTTTTATCTGCTAAAATTATTTATAGGGGTTTTATATGTTGTGCTTTTTTCAGGAAGAATGAGTAACATTCCATCTACCAGTAGTTCTATTGTTGAAATTGGAACATCTGGTGGCACTAATGACCGATACGAACTCCGGGTAAATAAAAGGTCCAAACTGCCAATTCAGAAGATGTTTCTAGAGGATAACAAGAATGGACAGAAAACGGCTGTAAGCAAATGTTTAAAATATGATGTTCCCATAAATTGCACAAATGGTGGCACGATTGGGTTAAAAGTGTATGATGTGTCATGTACTGGAAGTAAAAGGTGACCAGATGTGCAGATGAAACGTCGCTTACTTTTGCCAAATAGACCAAAACATCTAAATGACCAAAACATCTAAGACCAAAACATCTCAAGGACTAGCAGCAGCTGCTGCAAAGTTGGTTTATGAGGACAAAATTCCTGTTTATATTGTCGCCAGTTCTGCTGTACTACGCGAAATGTTCAAAATATTCTATGACATAACGTTATCCCGGCATCCGATTGGCAACACAATGGTCACCGATCATCATCTAGCATTGCAAAACTCAAAATCAAAAGTTTCTAATAGAGATAAAGCGCAGTTGTTATGCATATCATTTGATAAATGGACATCAGCTGACTGGTCTAAGTTTGTCAGAGTTTATCTGTATTGTGGTGATAAATTATGTCAAGGTATAATTCGATACAAAGGCGTCTGTGGAGTGGAAGATATTTGCACCTTAATGAGAAATCATCTGAAATTATTTGATTTAATGCTCAGCGATATCTCCCTTTCAATTACACCGACGCGGTTCCGACGTGCAAAGTGCAGCCGAAATTTTTAATTGGATTAGGTTTCCTTGTCTAGCGCAAGTTGTAATATTGTGTTAAAAGTTTTCTTGTGACTATGAGTCAGATGAAGAAGATTTTGAGGATTTTGACAGTGAAGAAGATGATGTAATAGAAATGAGTTCTGGCTTCTTCAAAAATTGTATTGAACTGGCACTACTATGCTGAAAAATTAAGCTTACTTCCAGAATTTCACAAAAAAGCAGAACAATCTCCTCTGAAAACTGTAGTTGATAGTTCAACAAGATGAAATCCTGTGCATGATATTTTGAATTGATTTATTGAATTGAAGCAGCACTTACTATTCATGTTTACAGAAGAACTTGAAAATTTTGAGTGGAACAAAATTAAAGAGATCTGTGATACCTTGAAGTCGTTTAAAAAGCATCAGTGAAACTTCAGGCGGCTAATGCGGGCATTAACGAAGCAGTATCAGAAATTAAATTTCTTACATATCTGACCCGAACTCAACCGACTGTCAAGGATGCCATAAGACAAGTGCTTGAGAAATGGCTGGACAACAATTATGTTGTCAATGCAAAAAAAAACTCATGCGGTTTTTTTTGATCATGTTAAAGAACGTTTGATCAGTGAACCTCAGGGAGACTACCGTTTGTATGTTGCGGCAGAAGATCTTTCAGACAAGGAAATCGAAATTAGAATGGAATATGACCATTTTGACCTGAAGAAAAATCTGAAAAGTTTTCGGCCGACAAGTTGCAATTCTGAAAAGTTATTTTCGTTCAACCGAAT